CTCTAACAGTCTCAAAAAAATAAAACCGGATCAAATTCAAGATTAAGAACAACGCAATCTGCAAACATTAACTGAATTAGATAATTTTAGCTAGCTTAGACTGTCCGTTTAAATTAAACGCACATTCGTAAATGTATTTTGCGCTCACGCATATTCGCTGCCGTAAAGGTCTTACACGCATGCGTAGCTTTGAGGTCCGAATTAACGACTTTTGACTGTATTCCTTTGATTGCATCATAACTTGCTTCTCCCAAATGCATTGTTGCAATTTTTCCTATGAAAAAGCAGTCTCACTTTTCTTATTGAAAATCAGATTGTAATACCCTTTTGCCTCTTTCTGCTTTATTTTAGAAGCAGAAAGAGTATTGGCTATATTTTAGAAGTATTATGCTTATGCTGTTTGGCTTTCATCTACACCTTGCTAATTTTTTGTCAGTTGTTTCATGCTTTAATTCTAGAATTAAATCTGTATCTTCACATTAATCACTTTCTTATAACTCTTTGTTACAAATATATGTTAATTATAAATTATATTTATTAACTTACCTTAATGCCAAAATAGCTGCACAAACACATGAAAAATGCAATAAATTGAGTACAATATATTATATGAGATACTTCCTTCACAAGGTAACTGTGGGAACAGAATGAGTGAGCACTTTTCACTTTGTTTACAGCTCAAAGTAGTCTGGTGCAGTAAACCTGTCACTTGGGCTCATACCCTGATTTTTATTCAGATCCGTTTACAAAAATTTGTTGGCTCACATCCTGAAAATCTTGTGTCTAGAGGCACTATAGTATCTATAATTTTTCACAAATGACCTGTTAATAGCTTACATAAGTTTTCATGTATTCAAATGCTTCACATGATTGAATTTTACTTTTTTAATGAATAATTTTTTAATGTTGTTGTATGATATTTTTCATTGGATTTTTTAGACTCATTACTCCCACAGAAGAAAAAATTATTGCGGTTGCACTGTTTGAAGATAAAGAACTTGAAAAAATTATTTTGGAATCTGACACAGAGGTAAAGTTTTAGTTGGACTATTATTATTTATTAGAAAATAATGTATGCTCACTGCAGAATCTTCTATACTCTGGCTTGAAAAAAGGAGGTACTTTTGTAATACGTATAACGTTTTACTGTTTAAATTGGAAATTCTGATTTAGCATGAAATTCAGATGCTTTAATATTTATTTTCTATTAAATTTTATGAAAAATAAAGCCTACTTCATGATGACCAGGAAACCTGATCCATAAGATGGTGGTATGGAAATGCCCATGTGAACAAAGGAAATACATGTGTTCCTACAGGCAATGATCAAGAGACATTTTAAAGAAATTGAAACTTAACACATGACTAATATTTAAAAAAAGATAATTTTGATTATTCAGATAAAAAGTTCTCTCTCAAAATTTTAACTCCTCAATGTTAATTGAATTTGTTATATATTTATTAAACTTACTTGATTCATTCTTTCTCAGTTCAAAATTTAGATTTATTCGAAATAAAATTCCAGATATTTTTTAAATTTGTATTTTTTAGTAATTTTTACAAATTTTTAACCTTTGTCATCCAAATTTTTCAAATTCTGATTTAAACATTATGCATGTTTATTCATAACTTATGAAAGATCAGCCTACTTGAGGAAAGAAGATCTGCTATATTATCTCTAGAACTGGGAATAAGCACTACTCTGGGATGAAACCTGAATGAATGGGAGTGAATGGCTCATGAACGACATCTTTCCATTTTACGATCGCATTTTACATCGTAGTTATGATAAAAATTTGTGTTTTTCAAATAATTGATGGGTAAAAGACATAGCTATTGTAAATTTAGTAAATAAATTAACCTATTGAGATACAACATATCTGTTAACTCGATAGTAAATTTTGACTAGGGTGTGATCAGATATGCACTGCAATGACTTTCCTTTTGAAGTCCATATGCAAATTTTATTTGTTGTAATAATATGCAATATATGCTGTTTACACGAATAATACAATATTTTTCTCAGAAAATCAGAATTTTGTTTTTTGAAGACATAACAGCTATGAGATATTACGTTCAAGTAGCTACGTGTTGCAGAAGTATTATTCTCTGGAATAATTTTTTCCTGGAGAAAAAGGCCATACCAATTATGTCTTAGGTTACAAGAGCCTTTTAATTGGAAATATTGAAATGCTGATTTTGAAACTAATTTTCTTTGAAATGTTGTACTTCGTTGATGATTTTAATATTACTTGTCATATTTGACTAAAGACTGTTACTTAATCAACATGCAGTTTCTCTGGTCTTTACATGCATTTTCCAGTTGCATGTCAATTATAATGTTGTGTTTGAAATTTCTGGAATTGATAGCTGAATCTGTTGTAACATAATGTTATGGTGGCTAGGCGTCTTGTTGCCTTTATGTCTATTTTACCGAAAATGGCAAGAAGAATGCATGAATTGGAAGTTGATCTGTCAGCACTACCCTTACCTTCAGAGCAGATGTTTTTATTTTATTTGGCTTATAATTCCTTACTAAATGTAGTATTTCATCTCGATGTAATCCGTCTTTGATATGATTTAAATCAAATTCCTTGTCATTATAATTCGCTTCTGATAGTGAAGAAAGTGACACAGAGGTTATTGAAAACGAAAAAATTTCGATTGACAAATTAGTCAGTATTCTCGACACAGTAATTATAGGACTTGAACAGCAGAACTTTGTAACTGAAGAAGAAATTTCTTTATAGAATTAAAGAAAGTATTATCACATAAAACGAAGCAACTTACATTGAAAGAAATGTTTAATAAAGTAAACAAATAAATATTAAGCTTTCTTTTTTGTAAATTTTGATACCCTTTAGATCATAATTGTTCTTTATTTCATAAATTACGGTTTCATATTTTTAATTTTAGAATTTCTGCATGCCATCTTACCAGATTTAAACTGATGATCTATAATCCGGAAAAATCGATAATCCGGAATCGCCGAACTCCCGACGAGTCTGGATTAACGACTTTTGACTGTACTCAAAAATGGGCAAGTGTATTTTAACACAGCTTAGTTTTCTAAGGAATAATATTCGGAATGGTATAAATAAAGTGGAAATAATCGAATAGTCAAAATAATTTCTTTCTTTCTTTTTTTTTTTTGGCCAATGCGGAAGTACAGTACGGAAGTTGGGGATTCTCCCCTTTCTCCTCAAAATCTCGAATATTGAAAATGTTACAGTTCGCACCAAAGCAAGCAACAAACTTTTTTTTTTGGTCACTTTCCAACCTGGATTGAATAGGACTACAAGTTCTGCGGCCTACCAGTCCAAATGAAGAATGATTCTATTCCGTAAATTTAACTAGTCTGTTCAAAATTAGAATGAAAAATACCCCAGATTGATAAATCTCTTTATAAATCAGTATGAGTATGGCAGGGATATCGCGCAGAGTGCGACGTGTCCTCCTCAATGATAAGTATGCCACATGGGCGCTTGAAGGCGAAAACCGGATGAAGCGAAGGGGCATTTCCCTATATTAGATTCTGCCAGCTGTTGATTCCAATTGCATAATATCACGTATGGAAGAATTAAGGCGCTCGTATTGTGCAATAACCTTTGCGATATTTCGCAGAGATAAAGAAGTTTTACTGTGCTTGCTAAGCAGATTATTTTTCAGTTCCATTGGGCTATTTTTTATATGATGCGCATATCGAAATGTCAAAAGCATTATTTAGCTGAAAAACTAAGAACGGTACAATTACACCCCTTCCTCTTTTACGATTATGCTAGACATCGGAATTTCGATATTCGGCAATTTCCGATAGTCGTTTAGTTAAGCTTTTACTGTTAAGGATGACTGCCGAAGCAATTTCCCATTTCTGATTTTAGAGTTCCTTTTTTTTTTTAAATTACTCTGCTGCAATATCTGTTAGGGAAAATGTTATACAGTCAAAAGTCGTTAATTCGGACACCGATATCGGAATGATCTATAATCCGGACTCAAAGCTACAAACTTCTGCGCATGCGTCGCGTTCACGCATGCGCACAGGCTTTACGAGAGCGCGTAAGACCCTTACTGCTGCTAATATGTTGTGCGCATGCACGTTTAATGTATAACGAAGTTATACGCTAAGCTAAAGTTATCTAATTCATTAATGTGCAGATTGCGTGTTCCTTAATCTTCGAATTGGATCGGCTTATTATTTTTTGCAGACTGTTAGAGCATTTTATAAAAGTAAGCTTGAACTTTCGATTATGTCAAATAGAATTTCCGATATATATTTACTACAAAGCGAAAAGTTTTGAAATCGAAATCAGTTTTATCAATTTCACGCTGCTCTGGCAGAGGGGGGGGGGCACGTCAGATTAGATTATGATAGATTAGAAAGATATGTCAAATAGAATTTCCAGTATATATTTACTAATATGTAATTGTATCTACAAAGCGAAAGTATGTTTTGAAATCCGAAATCTGTTTATCAATTTCAACGCCACGGATTGGAAGTTGATCTGTCAACACTATCCTTATCTTCAGAGCAGATGTTTTTATTTTATTGGATTATATTCCGTACTAAGTTTAGTATTTCATCTCGATGTACTCCGTCTTTGATATGTTTAAATCAAGTTCCTCGTCATTATAATCGCTTCCGATAGTGAAGAAAGTGACCCAGAGTTATTGAAAACGAAAACATTTCGATTGACAAATTAGTCGGTATTCTCAACACAGCATTATAGGACTTGAACAGCGGAACTTTGTAACTAAACAAGAAATTATGTTGTTTAATAGAATTAAAGAGAAAGTATTATCACATGAAACGAAGCAACTTACATTGAAGGAAATGTTTAATAAAGTAAACAAATAAATATTAAGTTTTTTTCTTTTTGTTGTAAATTTTGATACCCTTTAGATCATAATTGTTCTTTATTTCATAAATTACGGTTTCATATTTTTAATTTTGTAATTTTTGCATGCCATCTTACCAGATTTAAACTGATGATCTATAATCCGGAATCGCCGAAGTCCCGACGAGTCCGGATTAACGACTTTTGACTGTACAATGAAAATTTAGAAAATGTTCAGAATTTTGATTTAAATTATTTAAATATTAATATGAGTAGAAAAATAAATTGTATTTATTTTTAGGTGCCAAGCGAATATAATAAATATGGCTTATTATTATTTATTTTCTCTATTTTGAACTGAAACTTCGTCATTAAATCTTGTAATTTAGTTCTGCATAGTTTTTTAACCTCTCCATTGTAAACTAGTTCTGTAAATTAAACTGCTATTTAAAATAATAATATTAAAAAAAAAGGTGTAATTGCTTTCCATGGTTGAGTAATGCTCATTCTCTCTTAATAAATACTGAATTTCTCATATTTTAAATTACAAGTCTAATTTTTCTTTTAAGGTTATGCAGTTGTGCATAATGTAATTAGACAGGTGCTTATTTTTTTTCCCTTAAAATGTACTTGAAAAGTGCTTATAGGTGTTTATTTTTTTATCTAAAATGGGGCTACAAACCCTGATGAGAGTCTGTTTGGTGGGATTCCCTTAATCGTTCTGTGGAATCTTCTCAGTAATAGGGGAGTTTTTTCTGTTTCAATTCCTTTCTCTGTTGTAGCATCTGGAAATTATTCTCTCGATTTATTTTCTTTAAGAGGTCATTCTATTTCCTCATTTTGATTGTTTAATTGCCGAGGTATTTCTTCGTTTTTGTTTTGTTTTCATCGAATATTATGCTTCTTCTGATCACAACGCTGTTTGTGTGGGGCATCTAAATTCTGTATACTGTAGTATGGTCACTGTATTCAATGAGAATTTCTTTTCCTGCTTTGGAACAAGGCAATGAGTGCGAGTAGTCTGTGGTGCGAGAAACTCTGATGTGGTTTGAGTTAGGTTTTTTATTATTCCAGAGCTCGTACGGTGTTTTTTCGATTGACCTTGATGGGTAGTCTGTTTTGTAGATAGGTAACTGTCATTATGTTTTTCATCCCAAATTTCTAGTTTTTTATTATTATTATTATTATTATTATTATTACAGAGCTTGTACAGTGTTTTTTTTTTTATTGACCTTGATGGTAGCCTGTTTTGTAGATAGGTAGCTGTCATTACGTTTTTCCTATTTTGAGTCCAGATTCAAGTAGTAGGCACCTTGTCATTTCCATTAAGTTTCAATTTCTTCTTTCTGCTCTACAATTCTGTTGCGATGAATATGCTACGGGGGTTTGATGTTCAATTCCCTCTTCCTTTAAATATTCTTCAATCTCTTTGTTTGTGTATTCTCTTGCATTGTGTGTTCTTAAGACTTTTGTCTTCTATCCAAATTTGTTCTTAGTCATGGTTGCAAATTGCTTGAACTTGTAGATAGATTCGTCTTGTGTATCTTGAATGATGTCACTGAATGAAGTATTTCTTTCCTCCTAGTGTGGTTGTACCAGTCACTCCACAAATGTCTCAATACATCAACTCTAGAAGTGATTTTTCTCTATACTTGTTTAGCTTGAGATACGACAATTCAGACATTTTGCTTCTGATATAGCATATATTCTTTTTTCTTTTTAATTTCTCGATTGATCCTTATTCTGGTTGCAAGGTCATCTTTCTTTAGCCTCTTGAGTGCTTCATAATTTCTGTGTCCTACTCTTCTATACTAAAGATCTGTGCTATTTTCACTTCCTTCTGTAGTTCCAATTTTTGTGTTTTTAACTTTTTATTTTTGCAATTTAATTATGGTATATAAATTTCCTTCTGCTTTAGCAATTTCTATGGTTTTATTCTTTTTATTTTTCTTCTTTATTCTGCAAATATCTTCTTCAAATTCTACTGTAAACCCATTGTTTGTAATTTTTTGTACGAATATTAATCCTCCTAGGTCAAGAACAGATAGATTGAATCTTATTTTTCGTTATCTTCGTCATCTGTACAGTATAAGCAGGGTTGGATTTATGTATAACGTACATAGGCTATAGCTTAGGGCCCCTGAAAAAATTAAAATATAGTATAAATAGTATTAAAATATATTATAACAGACTTATAAATAGCCCTATATCTCAAGTAATTTAGGGCTGTATCAAGTCTAAATCTGGCTCTGAGTATAAGTATCCTTCTCCTATGCGTTCGGACTTCATCTAAGTATCGTTAGCAATTGTTATTTGTTCATTTCTGCTTTTATTGTAATTTAATGAAAAAGTTTATGTTGTTGGTCTAATGACATGTGGTTCCTGAATCAACTGACAAGTTTGAGTTTTAAAATTTCCTTTCTCTGGTGACTTTGAATGTGTAATTCTCAGTCTTCTTAAGTTTCTTATTTTTGTTTTCATCTTCGTGTGTATCCTCGTTTATAGCAACTTCGTTTTTGTTTATTTCCATAATTTTCTTTATTCGCTTTATTTCATTTTTGAAAAAAGAATTATTTTTGTTTTGTATTTTCTTTCTGGTTATTTAAGAATCTGCATTCTTTTTTTAAGTGTCCTAATTTTTTGCAATAATTGCATCTTCATTGATTGAAATGCTTGAATTTTGTATTAAAATTTGTTTTGAAAGCAGCTGTTTCTTCTGTTTGATTGCTTTCTTTTCTTATTAAGCATTCGTCGATGAGTTTCATATTTACGTATGTTATGTTACTTCTTCTGGGCAAGCTTCTAAAGCTGTAATCAGAATTTTGTAGCTTTTTGCTAAGCCACCTAATAAAAGACAGTCACATTGCAGACTAGTAAGAATGCTGCAATGTTACTACTGTCTTTTATTTCTTCACCAATTCCTCGCAGTTCATCCATGATCTCGAGCGTTTTATTGATGTGTTCTTCGAGCTTGTTTCTGCTTTTAACATTCAGATGTTGAAATTTACTGGAAAGACTTTTTTTTCTTTCATGAATTATCTTTGATTTATTCCATATCTCTTTAGCCTGTTGTTTTATTCCTTTTGTTTACGATTTGATTGTCTTCTACAAGTAAACTTATGGTGGCTTGTGCTTGTTCTTGTTCATCTTGTTTTATCTACTCAGCATTGATTTGTTTTGGTGTATCAGTTACGATTAAATCCCATAACTTTTCTTTTTTTCAGAATCATTTAAGTTTGTATTTCCGTAGTTGATAGTTATTACTGTTTAATATCATAATTGAATATTTATTTTCACAGCTAGTAACCATGTCTGCTTATGTTTTTCAAATATGCAGTATACAACTATGTTACTTCTGTTTCATTTTTTGAGAACAGGCTTGGCTTTTCTTTTTTGGATTATCCAGTGGTAATTTATGGTAGAGTATCTTTTCTGTTTATATTTTTATTCTTATAGCTAATCTCAATGTGTTTATACATTTGGTTGAAGAAACATGCCATCGGTCTCATAACCAAATGTAGAAGGTTTGCACGGTTTATTTGTTTACCATCTAAATGCTGGTTATTTGTGACAAGCAGAGAAATAAAACAGAATGAAAATTCTTACCTTATTAATGTGTAATCCATCTTGCTATATGTAAGGAGCACAAATTACTACTATTAGCACACAAAAAATATCAAAGCTGTAGTATGGCTGATGGCACTGAGTGAATAAACTGCCAATTCTCCTAGTTTGAATTACTTAAATATCTTATGGGACAACCGTGGAAGAGCTGTTGCATGGGAATTCTTTTTCTAAAGAATTTTCTAAAATTTATTGTGTTCTTAACAGAGGGGAATTCTTCTTGAGAGGGAATTTCATAGTTTCAGGAGGAATGAGATCAGTCTTTTATTTGCCCTTTGAGTAAGTTTTAATTTATGAATATAAAAAACTACTTTGTTCAAGTTTTGGTATTTATCAGCATTTTCTATTGTTTTTCTTGTCTGATTCATTAAACACATCAAAAAATAATCTAAATTTAAATAAATGTATATACATTTTTCAAGTTTTGGAAAGGAAGAGGGGGTAGTGATTTAGCAATGGTGAAAAGGGTGCATGGGACAACGAAGGCTTAGAACCTCTGTTTTAAAGGTTTTCTGGTTTTTTTTTTTTTTTTTTTTTTTTTTTTTTGGTAATTGAATGTAGTATTAAATTGGTTTAGTATTTTCTCTTTTCATAGCCACTGTTCTTCTGAAAAAGTCATTCTTTTCTGAATTTTTATTGAGAGAAATTGAGAATTTTTCATGTTGTTATTTTTAGTATTAAAGATCAAGAGAAATATCAGGATATTATTTCAGTTAATTTTATTGTGTTGTTAATGAGTTATTAGTGTTTGTAAGTAAATCATAACTTGCATTTCTAAAATTGAGTAAAATACTTGAAATTTGCTGAAAAATCTCTGCATATTAATGCATCCTGTTGATTGCTTGTATTATAAAAGTTCTACTATTCTAGTTTTTGTTTCCTGTAACTATATTATTTAGTGTGCAAAAATTAATATATTAATTAATTAGTGCGTGTTTGAATATATTTAAAATTTCATTGTCTTTGTATATGTAATGAGTAGGAGAGCATATATATTAAATATTCTGCTGTTTAGCATATTTGACAAAAAAAAGGTATTCTTTTTTATGCAATTTTTTTCAGGTGATTTCTTTATATTAATTATTGTCCGTTTATTTGAATGTATGTAAGATGATATTAAGTTCATTCTGTCTTGCTTTTTGTTTTACAGACAACATACGATTCACTACAATTTCCTCATTTTTCTCAGTCAGTCAATAGTGAAATATCGCATTTAGAACAACTTGTACAATCTCCTGAACAAGTTTCAAGTGAGAAATCTTTGCAATTGAAGCCTTCACAGACTTATAGACAATTGCAGTCTCCAAAATCTTCACCAAACAAACCCTATCTTAAACAATCTCAGTTGGAGAAGTTTTTAAAGCATTCTCCTGAACATTTTCAGTTGGAAAAGCCGTTGCATAACAGTTCTGTTTCTGAACATTTTCAGTTAGAGAAACCTCCAGAATCTTCTCATTCTAAAGTATCTGTATATCCAGCAAAGGATGCTAATTCAGATGATTTTATTCCCTCAAAAAATCCAGTTCATGTGAACAGACCTTTGCAACCAGAGCTGTCGTCAGAATCAGATCTTGAGGAGGACTTTGCACATTTACTTCAAAACAAAAGTGTGGCTTCTAAAAACGCAAAAATCTTGCAAATTAGGGACTCAGACAGTGAAGATACAAGTGACTGTGATAAAAATGCTGATTTTCGGTTCTTAACCCCTACAATGTTTAAAAAGGTATGGTTGAGAATATTATACTTGATGTTTTTATTAACATATTTGATGGCATACTGTAAAAAGAATATGGTCCTTATTCCCACACATTTTTTTAAATCAATATATTAAAAAATTTTAAAGTACAGTATTTTTTGAAAAACATTAATAAATACCCTTAATAATTTCTTAGTAATATTTTTTGGTATGATATGCTTGAAAATAATTTCCTTGGTGAAGAGGTAGATAGATACCTTATGCCAGGGTTTCTTAAACTGTGGGTCGGGACCTGTAGCAAGGGGTCAAAAAATTTTAACAGTTTTTGTATTTCTTTAAATTATTATAATAATTTTGCAATTACCAAATATTTTTACACTATGTATCTGAAAATAGATAAAGATAAGACAATATAGACAAAGAAAAAAACGAAAGCGTTTCAACACATTCTTTTTATAATATAAACTTTCATTTTCCTTGCTTTGCACGTGACGCTGTCATTTCGTCTGTTACTTATTTAAACTTTTCACATTGTTCTATGTCTTGAAATTAGAAATTAAGGTTAATGACCTAAAACTGCAATTGTATATTACAGTACAAGTTAAAAAATTGACAGTTTCACTCATGCGTGTGTCGGATTTGTGCAATACTTATGGGGTCCCACAAAATTTTTGTCAGTGCAATTTCTGTTGGTTTTGTGTGAGCTCTAGAAATTTTTTATTGTATTTTGGTGAATTTACTGTATTTTGTGGTTATAGTGCATAATTTAGGAACTTCAACAGCTATTGCATTGGATTGTCTACAAAATTTGAATTGAATGATGCTTTTTTCTACTTATGAGTGCTTTTCGTTCCGTGCACCACTATCTGTGAGAGAGTTTGTTTACTTTGGAAATCTTGTATGACTGATCATTTATACAAGATAACCAAAAAGGTTCTTGCCGTTTCTAATATAACCCCAGCATAAAAATAGTCGGGAAACCTGGAGATCAAGTGGTTAGGATGGGAGTATAAAAGCATGTTGAGCATAAAAGACTATAAAAGCACGTTGCATCAATACAGGGTGTTTATAAAGTCCCAGAGCCATTTTGATGTTTAATAACTCATAAAATAATAAAGATAGATTAAAATTAATAACATAAATGGTTAGATATACTCAAAAAGTTTCATGACCCTTGTCAATGTACTACCATGTGTGCCCCCTTTGTCGCACGGAGAATATGAAGCCAATATTAAATTTCACGCCAGGTACCAGCAAGTATGTTGGCATTTACAGAGGCTATTGCGGTTGTAATTCTAGTTTTTAGGTCACCAATGTTCGACATTCTCCTCCTGTAAACGTTGTCCTTTTCAAAACCCCAAAGAAAAAAGTCCAGCGGCGTTATATCAGGTGATTTGAGTGACCAAGGAATTGGACTCCTCACCCAATTCATCTTCCTGTAAAATGGTCATTCAAAGAGCTATGAACGATGGTACCCCAATGAGGCGGTGCACCATCTTGTTGCAAAAATGGTCATTGTAAAGAACTACGAATGACTGGTATCCTAGTTGCGGAAATACGAAGTTTTCCAACACGTCTAAGTATACGACTGATGAGACCATTTTTTTCTGTAAAAAAGAAAGGCCCTAGTGACTCGGTCGTGCATTAGTCCACACCACACATTAACTTTTGGGGAATCCCTTTGGTGCCCCACGGTCTTCATGGGGTTTTCAGATCGCCATATGTGCATCCATTATTGCGATTAACAATGCCAGATCCCCAAGATGAACCCAGGATGCTTCGTCAGAGGACATTGGAATGCGCTCTTCAGAAATTTCAGCATCATCTTCTATCCTCCTTTAGCATACCTGTTGCAAAGGCCATCCTCCTAGGCCTATCGTCCTGGTTCCAAAACTTGAACACTTTGAACTTTGTATGCATGCAGTCTTAATTTTTTCGTTTTAATAACCTTGTACACCATAGAAATTGGCATATCCAATTCTCTTGCCGCTGATCTCACAGATCTTCTAGGATTGTGTAAAAATGTCTCTCTGACACGCTCAACATCAAAATCACTTGTGCAGGGATATCCGGAACGTTTCTTATCTGCCATACTTCCAGTTTCTAGAAAATTCTTTTTCCACCGCAAGATGCTGCTTTTGGATGGAGGATCTTTTTGGTAAATTCTTCTGCAATTTCTCTGTATTTGCATTATGGATTTTGTTTCTATGAACCACCATAAAATCTGTGCTTGCTCTTGTGGTGTATGCATTCTCCTTAATATCGGTCGAATAAAACATCACATACAAAAGTACTAGAACAAACACATCAAAAGTAAACATAACATTGCAATAGTTGCCAAAAACAAAAGAGAGAAAAATGCAATTAACCCCTTAACTGCCGCGGGCGTATATATACGCCTTGCTCAGCCGATGCGTTAACTGCCCCAGATGCGCAGCCGATGCGTTAACTTTGCGAATAATTTTAGGTGTAGCAGCGCAAAGCAAATGATAGCAGTTTGGAAGGACGTATATATACGCCTGGGGCAGTTAACGCATCGGCTGAGCAAGACGTATATATACGCCCACGGCAGTTAAGGGGTTAATAAGCAGGCGATATTTAGAAACATACAGATATTTAGACTGGAAAATGAAATTATCTGAAATTAACCACATGCGCAGACAATATTTACAAACGTAAAGATATTCAAACCTGAAAAGGAAAATATATAAGTTATTCCATCAATAAATGCCATAAGTTTGTTTATATCTTCATTATGAGTTATTAAACATCAAAATAGGTCCGGGACTTTATAAACACCCTGTACTTCAAATATAACTTAGATGGTGACTGATTGAAATGCATGCATCAAAGGCACTCGTTAGGAGCTGATTGCTGTATGATTTTAAAGTGGCCCTTGTCAGCAGCAGAATCAAGTTGCCAAATTTGCCAGGCTTTTGGGGATGATCCTGTTAATGAATGAACAGCTAGGCCATGGTTCCAGAAGTTCAGGTCAAGGGATATGTCTTTTGTATGTTCAGGTCAAGGGATATGCCTTTTGTATGTGATACACAACGCAGTGGTCAGCCACAAGTGCTGGACGATGAGGCCTGAGAGCAGCCATAGAGAGCGATTGTAGCCAAACATGTGGTGAGCTTGCTGCACACTTCCAAGTATCTGATGAAACGATCAGACTCCATTTGCACCAGTGTGGGCCGAGCGGTAAAATCACTGAACACTGGTATTCGGTCTGAAGTTCGAATCCTGTGAACGGGCTGGCTGCATGGGTGTTTTTGTGGTTTCCCCCATGTGTAACGTGTATATGAGCTAGTTTCCCTTAGAAAGTCCTCCACGAAGGCATCACTCCCCTTAGGCAGATATCCCTAGTGTGCTTTGCCATATTCTCAATACACACCCTTTGCACTGGATAAGAAAGGCATAGAAGCTAAGCAAGTGGCTACCCCTCCCACCATCCGATGCAAACAAGCAACAGTGTGTCATTGCCTATTTTTCATTGCTTACTCGCCACCGTGATGCATCCATATTTGTTCGAGTACTCACCAATGATGAAAAGTGGATCCAGTATGACACACCCAGGCGTTCCAGACATTGTTTGTTACCAGGGGACCCTGTGCCTCACACTGCAAGACCTGCTCTCCGCCACGCAAAATCATGCTTTGTATCTGGTGGACTAGGCATCAAATGATGCACTATGAGCTCCTGCCAGTGGGCTAAACCATCACGGGAGGCCTGTACTCACAGCAGTTGGAACATGTGCATCAAGCACTGATGCATAAACAGTTAGCATTAGTCAATCGTAAGGGTTTACTCCTTCTCCATGAAAATGTGAGGTCGTATGTGGCTTCGAAGGCTAGGGACACCATCCAGCGACTGGGCTGGGAGACACTACCCCATCCATCATATTCTCCAGATCTCACGTCAACAGACTGCCACCATTGGCATTCCCTGGACAACAATCTTTGTGGGAAATCCTTCAACAACTGGCCAGGCCCCGGGAAAGCCCTCAGGGATTTTTTTTTTTTGTCCAAGACTCCTGAGTTTTACCGTGATGCATCGTATAGCTAGCCTCTCGTTGGCAAAAGGCACTGGATGCCGATGGTGATTACTTTGAGGATTAGCAGTGATTATTATTTATTTTATGACTTTTTCTGTCTGACTGCTCAAAATGGCAGGAACTTTTTTGGTTGCCTCGCATTATCATGCATTTACCTGTAAATACTTTTTCTTATTTTTTAATGTTCCGATAAATTTCAGTGTTATACTCACTTGCATTGAAGTTATACAAATTTGCACATACTTTGAACTCTCAAATTAATACTTGGATTGAAGCTACTTATATTGTGTTATAATTTCTGTTGCTCTGCTTTGATTAATGGATAATTCCCTCCTCATTTTTGTTCATGAAGTTTATTTGTATGAATTTTTAATTGAAATATGTGTGTATCAAGATTTTAAGTGTTTTCATGCCTGAAGTTCGGATTGTACTGTGTTTATATATCTGGAGCTCTCATCATTTATTTAGACTTTCTGCCAATTGAGGAAAATTTTAATTGATTCTTAATCTCAAATTAACTATTATACGAGCTTTGAAGTGTGCAGGAACGCTTTACTTAATGGTTTTAAATTATCTTAAACAATTTTGTGATTTTAAGAATTTGTTTCGAGAGTTTGATGTATTGTATTTATAATGAATTAATCGTGAAGTTTTGAGGAATTATATTCCCTGTCGCTAAGTGAGCATGAACAATCAAATGATTTATTATTGATAGGGGAATAGTAATATTACTGACTGTAATTTTAGCTTGTAAATATAAATCGATTTTTTGTAATTATACATTTCTAAACTAGAATTTCATTGAGCGATATAGAAAAGGAGATGAGTGGAGAAGAGATCTCGATACAGAGATTTGATGAGAAGATTGAGAATGCAGTTAAACTTCTGGAATTGGAGGATGCTAAGAATAGCAAAGATAATAAATAATTCAGATATTAGAAGTACAGAATTAACTGTGGAAAATGATCTTACA